TCCTTTGTTTAATGTGAATACATAGCATTTTTATGGATGTCTTGTCAATCTGATTTTTAACTTTTTTGTGGGTATACCAGATAAGTGGTTTTAACATTTATCTTAAAGTCTTTTGGAACAAACCATAACATCTCCAAGCTGTGTACTCATTCAATCATTATATATACACCCGATACAATTGAGTAAACCCGAACAAAAAGATGCAGAACACCAAATAATGTATTTCTTAATATCACTGCCTTTTTTTTGCTGGCAACTAACAGTAAACTCTATAATGTTTAAAAAAAAGAAGTTTTTAAAATGAAAAATTTATTTTGTTTTAAAGATCTATTCTTTTGGCCTTGCGACTCCTCCTGCTCTCTCTGGAGCACACTTCAAATGCCTTGAGTACTACTCAGATATTTTGGATTCTGTTGCCTCTTTGTGGCAGGCTAGAACAGCATCTGAAAGTATGGAAGAGAAAGAACATAAATTTGAATTACATAAAAGTTGTGTACTAACATGACTAAAGCCGGAAATGTTATCAAATTCTGCCAATAACAAAAATAAAAAATATTTAAAAACGTACACACATGTCCATTTGAAACAATTGTCCCAGCTTGCATCAATAACAAGTTAAGCATGAATTCACACTTGATCTGCGTTCTGTGACAATAACCATAATGTTGATACATATAAAAATGACAAAAGACAACTGATATTTTACAAAAATATCAACAAGACCAAAACAGTGTTTTTAGAGCAGACCATTTCTATGTCAGACACACCCTATCAAGTAGTATTATAATGTATACAATGTAGTTACAAGTATATATGTGTCTGATGACACCTATACGATACCTTTGCATGTACAAAATGTATTACAAATCAACAAAACAGTAAATTTATTAATCAGTCAAACTTATGAAAAATAACGTTTTGAATATGTCCTTAGAATGTGCTCAACAAAATTAGAATTGGGACAAACATAGTTGGAACAAATTGACCAAATCTGGAAATGAATTTGCCTGGAAAGAATCGGACTTGGAACGAATTGACTAGTATTCGATGACCCCCCTCCCTCTTTTCTGATATTACTGATTCTGTACATGCCTAGATATTTTCATATAAGCCCGCTAATTGGAGGATGCATACAAACGAATTATTACACTGTTTTGAGACAAAAATTAATCAGATTCAGTAAGATTAGACCTTATCATAATTTCTGTGAACGTAAACATATAAATTATTTGATCATTTGAATGTGTTTGTACATCTTATGATTCTTCGTTAATCTAACTGTAAAACATGTACTTACGCTAAATTTCACGAGGTTTATATAGATAAGTCTTCTCTTGTCTTTATATTCTTTAAAATACGTAGTTGTTCACTATTTGTTTCTCGGTCTTGTGCGACGATTTTCAAAATTTTCAAAACGGATGTCGAATGGAGGTGCGCGTGCTTGTGTGCGCATCCGAAAGAAAATTTTAGGATCTCAACTTGAAATACCGCGAAAGTTAAAAAAATTCTCAAATTTTATATACTGAATACATTGCACATCATTCGATAAAATTTTATGATCTTTTATATATGTTAAATATTAATCAGTAAAAAGAATTAAAATAATAAACCGAAAATTTTCTTTCATTAATGTTAATGAGAGATGGCAACTAAAAAAATGATTTGAATTAAAAATATAAATTAAGAATATATAATATTCATACAGATATACATAATTAAAATAGCATGAACAGGTTTTGAGATCCCCAAAAAATAGAGAGTCATTAAACACAAATTACATAATAATATCTTTGCATTAATTTTTAAAAGATACTTAATAAATAAACAAAGAAAAAAATTAAATGGAAAAAGCAGATGTGTTATTGGGGATGTCTCCTGACCCCATGTTCTTGCGCAAAACTTCTATCTAGACACCATGCATAGAGGGTAAGCCCCCCTTTTTTGTGGGAAAATTGGGTTGATCATTTAGGGAATCACTGAAGCATGACTGGAGCAGGCCCCCTCTTATGCCAGTCATAAGTCTTATAAAAAGTTCTGGATCAGCCACTGATTATCCAATCGTTTATAATACTACTGAATTGCCCTTTGTCCGATATGCTCATCAAAAATATCTGTTCCCCTCAATTTTGACAATTAGATTTTTCTGTCGCGAATGACTGACGTTAACCCAACGTTGAATCAATGTTGTTGTTTCAGTGTTGATTTTAACGACGTTAATTCAACGTTGAATCAACGTTGTAAAGTCAACGTTGAATACCTTGACGTTGGATCAACGTTGAATTTAGGTTGATCAACATCACGACCAAATTTCAACTTTGTTTCAACGTCGAGTGCCCACTGGGTGTCCTCGATTTGAAAGTTTTGTGAAATTATTTAGGTCTGTCGAGGCAAATATTTTGGACTTTAACCATGCAAATACCATTTACTACACAGTTAATGGTCTGGTTATATGAAATCTTCTATGAATTACATTGTGAAGTAGTTATCCTTATGTTTTATACAGGTGTTATTTGGAGAAGAAGGTGTTGACGATATATTTTTTTTTTTACCAAAACTCTGACCTGAACAGGAAAATAAAAAGACCTGAACAGACCTTGAATTCTATGGTCAAACTTATTCATACTTCAATATCTTGTTTAAATTGTATTTATATATAAATTTCTAATATGAGGCAGGTTTGACCTGTGAAAGGGGACGAAGTCAGCAAACCATTAGAATACTTTAAGATATCCTGTTTACAGCAATTTTATATATATAAACATTTAATGTAAGGAATTTTGTACATGACATCATTTTTAATGTAAAAAAAAAGCCGCACCTATCTTCAGGTAGTGTTTTTTCCCTCGTTGTCGAGCCTGCGACTTTTGTCGCAGAAAGCTCGACATAAGGATAGTGATCTAGCGGCGGCATTAGCTAATTTCTTAAAAGCTTTATATTTAAGAAGGTGGAAGATCTGGATGCTTCATACTTTGTATATGGATGCCTCATGTTACGAAGTTTCCGTCAGTCACATGTCCAATGTCCTTGACCTCATTTTCATGGTTCAGTGACTATTTAAAAAAAAAGTTAAGATTTTTTGTAATGTTAAATTCTCTCTTATTATAAGTAATAGGATAACTATATTTGGTATGTGTGTACCTTGCAAGGTCCTCATGCCCGTCAGACAGTTTTCACTTGACCTCGACCTCATTTCATGGATCAGTGAACAAGGTTAAGTTTTCGTGGTCAAGTCCATATCTCAGATACTATAAGCAATAGGTCAAGTATATTCGGTGTATGGAAGGACTTAGGTGTACATGTCCAACTGGCAGGTGTCATCTGACCTTGACCTCATTTTCATGGTTCAGTGGTTATAGTTAAGTTTTTGTGTTTTGGTCTGTTTTTCTTATACTGTATGCAATAGGTCTACTATATTTGGTGTATGGAATGATTGTAAGGTGTACATGTCTAGTTGGCAGGTGTCATCTGACCTTGACCTCATTTTCATGGTTCAGTGGTCAAAGTTAAGTTTTTGAGTTTTGGTCTTTTTTTCTAATACTATATGCAATAGTTCAACTATAGTTGGTGTATGGAAATATTTTATGATTTATATGTCAGTCACACAGGTTTTATTTGACTTTGACCTCATTTTCAAGGTTCATTGTACATCAGTGTTAAGTTTTTGTGTTTTGGTCTGTTTTTCTTAAAACTATAAGCAATAGGTCAACTATATTTGTTGTATGGAAGAATTGTTAGCTGTACATGCCTGCCTAGCATGGTTTATCTGACCTTGACCTCATTTTCATGGTTCATTGGTCAATGTTTAGTTTACTTGGTTAATGTTAAGTTTATGTGACAGTTGTAATAAAGCTTTATATTTAGGACTATCAACATAATATCAATGATTAGTAAAGAAGGCTAGACATTTCAGCGTGTGCACTCTTGTTTTAAAGTATAGGTTAAATAAAAACATTATAATTTATACCTAAAAACAATTAATATTCAAAGTTATTAACAAATGGCAAATTATCTTGGAATAGTTTATCACATAGAAAGTTTAAATTGCAATACATGTAATAATCAACCAGGCAAGATCTACGAGTAAGACAACATGACAGAAATCCAATCCTTTCAGGAGTAAATGTCCTTTAACTATTGGCCTAAAGATGATTTTTACCTATTTTTGCTTTTTTGGCCAAAGATACAATGTATAGTATTATGTAAATACATGTTTTAACTGGAAAACCTCAAATATTTTAAACACGACAAGATCTATATGTTTTAAGTTGGCAGAAATCATCCATTCACCTCTTCTTGGGGTTATTGCCCTTTATTGATGAATTTTACCCATTTTTTGCATATTTTGTCAAAACTTTAGTATATTAAAAAAAAAATTGTGAATAGCAAAAGTGATCAGCAAGACTAGATCTGAATATATATCGACATGGCAAACATTGTAGGTTGACTCCTTATAGGAGTTCTTGCCCTTTAATGATGATTTTTACCTATTTTTTGGACATCTTTCAAAAGCTATGATAGATTGAAAAAAGGTTAGGGAAGGTTAAACTAAGTGCTCACAAATATGTTTAACCCGACCACAGCCTATATATATATGTATAAGTCCTATGTCTGGAATTGTTAAAATTTGTTTTTCTTTTATTGATTTTTTGGTGTTTAAAGCCATTTTCTGCTCTGTTGGCTATTTAGTGGTGTCAAGTTTTTATTGGTTGAGGAAGGCAGATAGAAACACCAATCTACATGTACAGCAGGAAAACTGGCAATCATAGTCAATTAAGTATTGGAGTCAAACACAACTGCCATATGCAGGGTTTTAACTCACAAATTCAGTGTTGACAGGCTAGTAATACAGTGGATAAACTACTTCAACCATTCTGCCACTGAGGCCCTACAATTATAATGAATGCATTTGCTAAATCTTCATTTTGAATTTTGTGAATATTCATTTGTTGCAAGTTAAAAAAAAGTGATTTATATTGTGTTTATCTTAAATTGATTTACAGCTTTAGGATAAAAGCAAATACAAAATGGAAGCAGAAACAAGTGAGACACTGAAGAAACAATTTCAGTTACTTCAAGAACAACAACAGAAGAAATTACAAAGGAGGAAGCAGAAGAAAGAAGAAAAAAGTAAAGAAAAATCAATAGTTAATACATCCAATGCCTTTGGAGTTGATGATGATTTAAATCTCAAGGTAAACAACAGTTATGACAGTAAAAGTTATTATTGTTTTTGTCGAGCCTGCGACTTTTGTCGCAAAAGCGAGACATAGCGATCCTACATTCCGTCCAGGCGACGTCCACAAATATTCACTCTGTGGTTAAAGTTTTTGAAATTTTAATAACTTTCTTAAACTATCCTGGATTTCTACCAAACTTGGACAGAAGCTTGTTTATGATCATAAGATAGTAGTAAAATCCTGAAGTAAATTTTGTAAAAAAAAACCTGTTTATCCGTATTTTACTTACATGTATAAATGGACTTAGTTTTTCTGCCAGTTAACATTACATTCACTCTGTGGTTAAAGTTTTTGTCGAGCCTGCGACTTTTGTCGCAGAAAGCTCGACATAGGGATAGTGATCTGGCGGCAGCGTTAGCTAACTTCTTAAAAGCTTTATATTTTAGAAGCTAGAAGACCTGGATGCTTCATACTTTGTATATAGATGCCTTATGTTACAAAGTTTCCGTCTGTCATATGTCCATTGTCCTTGACCTCATTTTCATGGTTCAGTGACTACTTGAAAAAAAAGTCAACATTTTTTGTAATGTTAATTTCTTTCTTATTATGAGTAATAGGATAACTATATTTAGTATGTGCGTACCTTGCAAGGTCCTCATGCCCGTCAGACAATTTTCATTTCACCTCGACCTCATTTCATGGATCAGTGAACAAGGTTAAGTTTTCGTGGTCAAGTCCATATATCAGATACTATAAGCAGTAGGTCTACTATATTTGGTATATGGAATGATTGTAAGGTGTACATGTCCAACTGGTAGGTGTCATCTGACCTTGACCTCATTTTCATGGTTCAGTGGTCAAAGTTAAGTTTTTGAGTTTTGGTCTTTTTTTCTAATACTATATGCAATAGGTCAACTATAAATGGTGTATGGAAATATTTTATGATGTACATGTCAGTCTCACAGGTTTTATTTGACCTTGACCTCATTTTCACGGTTCATTTCTCAGTGTTAGGTTTTTTGTGTTTTGGTCTGTTTTTCTTCAACTATAAGCAATAGATCAACTATATTTGATGTATGGAAGGATTGTAAGGTGTATATGTCTGTCTGGCAGGTATCATCTGACCTTGACCTCATTTTCATGGTTCATTGGTCAATGTTAAGTTTTCATGGTTAAGTTTGTTTCTTAGATACTATAAGCAATAGGTCAACTATATTTAATGCCTAAATTGATTGTAAGGTGTACATGTCTGTCTGGCATGGTTCATCTGAACTTGACCTCATTTTCATGGTTCATTGGTCAATGTTAAGTTTTCTTGTTTAAGACTGTTTCTTAGAAACAATAAGCAATACGTCAACTATGTTTGGTTTATTGAATGATTGTAAGGTGTACATATATTTCTTGTTTGGTTTATCTGACCTTGACCTCATTTTCTTGGATCATGTTAAGTTTATGTGTTACTTGTAGTAAAGCTTTGTATTTAGGACTATCAACATTTAATCAATGGTTAGTAAAGAAGGCGAGACATTTCAGCGTGTGCACTCTTGTTAATATTTTAATAACTTTCTTAAACTATCCTGGATTTCTACCAAACTTGGACAGAAGCTTGTTTATAATCATAAGATAGTATACAGAAGTAAATTTTGTAAAAAAAAAACCTGTTTATCCGTATTTTACTTATAAATGGACTTAGTTCTCTGCCAGTTAACATTACATTCACTTTGTGGTTAAAGTTTTTAAAATTTTTATAACTTTCTTAAACTATCCTGGATTTCTACCAAACTTGGACAGAAGCTTGTTCATGATCAAAGCTAGTATCCAGAAGGAAATTTGGTAAAAATTTATTTCCTGTTTTTCTGTATATTACTTATAAATGGACTTAGTTTTTCTGCCAGTTAACATTACATTGTACATACAGTCTGCAGTAAAAGTTTTTAAAACATTTATTAGCTTCATAAACCATCCTAGATTTTTACCAAACTTGGATAGAAGCTTCTTACAATCAAAAGATAATATCTAGAGAAAAATTTTTAATAATTTTTTCCTCATTTTTGTTGAGCCTGCGACTAACAGCAAAAGTAGGCGAGACACGGGTTTCCGCAGAACCCTTACAAATTTAGTAAGACAAAAGACAATTTTTTTTTGATGTCATGATTTGTGAAGTTTGTATAATAGCGCAATAGACTTGTTAAACACAGGGCAGCTCAGAGTTTTTCCTTTATGGCTAAATTATTTTATTACTCAAAATATTTTATATATTTGTTAAAGGGGCATTAGCTTGAAGATAGAGAAAAATTAAAATATGATTTTCTTTTGTTCAATCATTGATGAAAGTGAAATAGTGAAAATAATAATTCGCTTTTAGCAGCCAGTTTAGTTCAACTTTGTCAAAATAAGCTAAGAAAGTGAAAATAATAATTCGCTTTTAGCAGCCAGTTTAGTTCAACTTTGTCAAAATAAGCTAAGAAACATTGCTGATGAATTATTCACTTGCAAGTGAATAATTCGATCTCATTAAATCTATATTCATGTGACCTTCAATTTAACCCATTAGCTAAAGATTGGGTACGCATGTATTAGTTGTGTTCAGCCATTAAAAGACAAAGAATGTCAACCTGAAATTGAAACAAAGGCGAACCATTTCGTTGACTGATTCGATCCACAAAAAATCATTCTTATACAGGTAAAACGTTGATTAACTTATTTCTTAACCTATCACATAAATGATCAAACAGACCTAGAAAAGTCCAATTGCACGAGGTCACTATCTATTTATATTTATGTTCATGTTTATAACGATTTATGTGACCGTCGGCAGTCTCGATGGTTAATTAGATGGCGTCTAGACTAAAATACACACGAAATGCTGATATATTTTATCGAGTCTATGCATTGTTAATTGTTTATTTCAGACTTATTTTAATTTTGATATACGTTTTAGTATGTTATAAATCAAATATGAGAATTTGAGTCAAATAGGTGACACCTAATGCCCCTTTAATGCATGAAGTAAAAATAAGTACTTTTTTATTTACAATATTCTATAGGTATTTAAATCAACAACTTTAAAATGGCATTACATTGGCAATATATCATCATGTTTAAAATCATATGATAAAATTGTAATTTTTATGTTTTACCCTTGTCCGTCTGTCCTTAAGTCCCAAAGTTGGTTTCTGTTCTCTAGCTTTAGTTACCACAAAACACAGATCAAGTTTGAATTTTGGTGGCATCACTTTAACCGTTCTAGAGTTATGCCCTTTACAAATATAAAAATTGCTGAATTTTTCGTTTCTGTTCTCTAACTTTAGTTTGCCTCAACCAAATGTTATGAAACTTATACACAATGCTTATTACCACAAAACACAGATCAAGTTTGAATTTTGGTGGCGTTACTTTTACTGTTCTGGAGTTGTGCCCTTTACAAAGGGAAAAATTGCTGAATTTTTCGTTTCCATTCTCTAACTTAAGTTGCCTCAACCAAATGTTATGAAACTTATACACAATACACAAAACTCAGATCAAGTACAAATTTGGGTAGTGTCACTTTTACTGTTCTTCAGTTATGTCCCTTTATAACTTTATATGATATGCAAGTGGGGGCATCATTTGTGTACCATGTACACAATGTGTCCATTTATTTTGGTTTAAAACAGGAATGCTAAAAAGATTGACAAGAATGGGGCATAGGTGCTTGAGGACAGGACCCTGTTTTGAACCCCCCATAGTCCCTCCCCCTTCATTATCATAAATTCTCAATTTTTCAATATATATCACTTATTTGTACCATATGTATACCAATATACCCTATTTTTACTCTAACAACATGTTTACTATGAACGTGCCACTTGACTACACAATATGTTGATGAATTTTTGTTTTCATGACCGCTTGTAATAACCTTGACAGCTGTTTTTTAGCAGTCATGTAGTCTATTAATATGGTATAGGCCCAAAATTAGTTTTTTTTTAGGGACATTTGTGTATTATTGAAGCATCATCTAATAAAATAATTTGTTTTCATACTATTTTCTTTCAGAATGTTCAGTATGTATCTTAGGAGAGGGTTTCTCCCTGATTTTATTCATATGTGGCAGCAAAACTTTACATTTCTATATTTCAGTTAGCAGATCCTGTACCGAAAGGCAGTGGTTATATATCAGAGGAACTGGTACAACATTTAAATAATCAAATCAGGGTAAAGAAATATTTTCATTTGCTAGAATAGATACTAAAGAAATATTGAAAAGATAGGTTACATTAAAGAACAAGCATAGTTTTGGGGTCTTATTGCTCTATTACTATCACAGTTTTAATTGGCTGTACCAAACTCATTAATTGTTTGTAAATCTAACAAATTGCTAGTGAATTCATGTTGCTCTGTGAAAAACTACAGATACCAGCCAAGAACCTTGAACCTGAATAACTTCTCATAGGAATACTTCCATCAGATGCAGACAGTTCCCTATCATAATATGATCAAGATGACCTACATTTAATGATTTATTTTATTGTTATTTTGTCAAAATGCAGTTCTTTAATAAGATATGTGTTCATTTTATATGATTTTAACTTAGGTGGATGTCATTAGCTGAGAATGCATTTTTTATTCAGAATTAATTGGCAATACTTATTAAAAAATAAGTCCTTCCTAGAAAGTCAGCCTGACCTATATAGGACTATATCTTAACGTTTAGATTAGGTTTAATAACACTTGGCTTTCTAGTTAATACTTTTTATAACAATCAGATAGGTTTTAGTATGTAGACTTTGCAAATATCTGAAGTAAAATTGTGTATAGACATTGTAAAAATCTGAAATAAAATGTCTATACACAATATTTGTATATTTTATTATTCCTGGGGAACAGTTTTGTGCATGAATAATTTTAGGAAGTGAAAGATGAAAATGGAAGATTGTACAGACTTCTGAGTGAGAAAGATTTTGAAATTAGAAACTTAAAGAAGAAAAGAGAGGAAGATGAAGCAGGTATTAATAACATTTTTTTTTTAGACATTTTCAGATTATTTCACGTTTTCCTTTATATCCTAGTGAAATGTGTAGCAGCATTAAGTTTAACTCTTGTGAATCTGTAAACTATAAAACCAAATTTGTAATTGTCATTAATTCCACTGAATATCAGATTCTCTGTGATGCATTTGATACTTATTTTGCTGCTTCAGAATTTTGTTTATAGAAGGTGAACATTATGTAAAGTGATGACAAATAATTTTTCTCAAAAGGAGTGGAAGCGTTTTCAAATATATTTTCATAATTTTTAGACAATTTTGTTATCAAGCCATAATCATTCCTGCATTTTCATTTCATGCACAAACCATCCCTGTACTTTTCATATATAGTTTCAAAGTAATGTTAATCTATAATATTTGAGATTTTAAGCTCACTTAAATACCCTAAAAGGAAATTATTTGAAATAAAACACACTGGTAGAAACTACTAAATAAAGGTGAGTTTTTATCTTCATTTGCCATACTTTTTTTTTAGAGTTATGCCCCTTTATTATGTGGAAAATTGACAAATTTTGAGTTTCCACCTTATGATAACTTGAATATTCTTGATATTTAAAAAAGCGTAGTAAGTCAACATTATTTGACATACTAACATAACCCAAAAATCCACAATACATCATATTGAGTTACTAGATTGCGTGAGGTATTTATAAATTTCTTTGAAAAATTTCAAAATTGCTTTTTTATTTGAAAATAAACTTGTCCTTTATCTAAATAATTCAAAGTTTGGTGACTACTGTAAATTCATAAAATATTGTGTTATTATTGTGATTATTGAAGAATGGAAAAAATGCGGGATAAATTATTGCGATTTCAGAAAAAGCTGCATACAGACAAATGCAAGTTAGTATTGCCATACTCACCTAGTCACAATAATAAAAACCTAACAATAATTTCTGAATTTACAGTATTTTGAATGCATCTAACCCCTGGAAGTTGAAATAAAGGATACAACAGGTACACTTAAGTCTACCTCATATCTTGACTTACATTTAAAAATTGACAATGAGAATCACTTGAGAACTAAATTTTCAAAGAGATGATTTCATTTTTTCTTGTTTTGAAATTTCCATTTCTATGTTGCATATATCAGCAGCTCCTACATATGGATTATATATCTTCCGGTTGATATGATATTCCAGAGCTTGTTTCTTGATAGAGGGTTGCTACAGTACTTATAAGGAAACTATTGAACCAAAATTTTACAGATGCCATCATGATTTTGCTGACCATTATTGAATATCTGTGTCACAGATGACCTTGTATTTGCCTCTTTTCCTGAATTGTGACATCATCAGATATGGCTTTCGCCAAATTTGGTGAAAAAGAAAGAAACTTAAGTGCATGTGAAAAAAAATCCTAAACCTACTTTACATTAGCATTATAAAGTAACTTCTAGATCTGTTTTCAATGAATTGATAGGTATCTGATGTCAAAACAAACTTTAAAAAATGAAGACAGGCAAAACATGAAAAATTCTTAGAGTGATAGATCTAGAGCAGGTACATTTTATTTATATATGTTCAAACTTAATTTATATTAAAAGAATTTATTTTTTGTACCTTTTCAGCTGGTGGTAAAGTAACTAATGAAGCTGCAGCAACAAAGATTGTAGAGTTGTCAAAAAAAGTCAGAGAACTTACAGCTGAACTTCAGTCAGAGAAAACTAAAGTTAAACAATATGGTAAAAAATGTATGGAATTACAAAATCAGGTTAGTGAGGTCACTATGTAATGTCATTGTCCAAGTAAAAGCTTTTACAAGAAAACATTTTAACACAGGATTCTGTCAATTAAAAAAAACAATTACCAGAGTGGTTTAATGAACTCAAGACCCTTATTGACTTTTATGTTACCATCTTATTTCATTATCTATAAATCCATGTATTTAGATTCTTAACCTGAATTTGTCATGAAAGAATGACACCGTTGGGTAAAAATAATCTATGGAAACCTAAACATGTAATCTGTTTAAGAAATACTAGTTGCCCAGAGTACAAGTAAAAAGTCCATATTTTCATGCAAAATGTTGACATAATTCCAAATGGTTTTTAGATTCACATTTAAGAGCAGTACAAAAATTATCACACAAGGTAACAGATCTTGTTATTCATAAATGTTAAACAGAATATTTTAGAAATTGTGGTGTTTTATTCAGTTTTGCCTGTAACAATACTCTTTGAAGGTGAAACTTCAGTATTATTTTTCTGATGGCCATAGAAGCATTAACAATTGAAAAATAAATTTCTAAGCTTATTATTTACAATAGTTGATATTTAGATTGGATGTGACATTTATATGTCAGTCTGACATTTGCCATTTGGAGTACACCTCATTTTTATTTTTAGCTCACCTTTCCAAAGGAAATGTGAGCTTTTGCCATCACTTGGCGTCCGTCGTCATCGTCCGTCCGGTGTAAACTATTTCAAACATCTTCTCCTCTGAAACCACTAAACCAATTCCAACCAAACTTAAGCTGAATGATCCTTAGGGTATCTAGAATAAAGTTTGTGTTTTATTTTGTGATTCATAAAAAAAAACTTGGCCGCCATGGCTAAAAATAGAACATAGGGGTAAAATGCAGTTTTGGCTTATATTTCAAAATTTCAAGCATTTAGAGCAAATCTGACATGGGAAAAAATGTTCAGTAGGTGAAGTTCTACCAGCCCTGAAATTTTTAGATGAATCTAACAACCCATTGTTGGGTTGCTGCCACTAAATTGGTAATTTTAAGGAAATTTTACAGTTTTTGGTTATTATCTTGAATAATATTATAGATATAGATAAACTGTAAACTGCAAAAAGTTCAGCAAAGTAAGATCTACAAATAAGTATATATGACCAAAATTGCCAATTGACCCCTTAAGAAGTTATTGCCCTTTAAAGACAATTTTACACAATTTGCTTATCAGGTTTTCTAATTTTAAAAAATCTTCTCCTCTGAAACTACTGAACCAAATTAAACCAAACTTAAGCTGAATGATTCTTAGGTTATCTAGAATAACGTTTGTGTTTTATTTTCTGTTTCCTCAGAAAACAAGGCCGCCATGGCTAAAAATAGAACATAGGGTAAAATGCAGTTTTTGACTTATATCTCAAAAACTAAAGCATTTAGAGCAAATCAGACGGAAGTTAAAGTATTTATTAGGTCAAGGTCTACCTGCCTTTAAATTATCAGCCAAATCGGGTATCTGATTTTTAGGTTATTGCCCCTGAATTAATGATTTTAAGGAAATTTTACAGTTTTCGGTTATTATCTTGAATATTATTATAGATAAAGATTAACTATAAACAGCAAAAATGTTCAGCAAAGTAAGATATACAAATAAGCTTTTTATGACCAAAATTGTCAATTTACCCCTTAAGGAGTTATTGCCCTTTAAAGACTATTTTTCACAATTTGTTCATCTAGTTTGCTTACTTTAAAAAATCTTTTCCTTTGAAACTGCTGAATCAATTTCAGCCAACTTGGGCTGAATGAGTTTCAGAGTATCTAGTATGAATTTTGTATTTTATTTCCTTGTACGTCAAGAAACATTAGCCACTATGGCTAAAATGGAACATAGGGGTAAAATGCATTTTTTTGGCTTTTTGAAGAAAATATGACAGATACAAAGAACATTTAAATGGCATTTTTAAGCCACTCATTATATATGTATATTGAAAAGCAAAAATAATCATTGATGAAAGATTTAAGCAAAAAATTACAGGTGAGCGATTCAGGCTCTTGAGAGCCTCTTGTTAATGTGTTCTTGTCCTGAACATGCATATTTTAAATTTTGAAATATGCAAAGAAGCCATTAATGAATCAGTCAAAAGGATGTGGTCTTGTTAATATATTTTGGTTTTTTAATAAAAAGTTAGTACAATGCTTAGAAAAACACACACATGTACAATGAATCTGAAATATAATGTATTTAGTTAAAAAAACACACATGTATTTTACCTATTTGACTTACTGGAAGAGAGGCAAAAGATCCAAAAGGAATAATCAATTCATAAGTCGAAGATGAATTGACAACACCATTTCAAAAAATGACAAACAACAGTCTACAAAACTCAAAATAGAAAATTAAGGAGTGGAATTGAAGAAATAACAGTTTTTATTGGTATCACGTCGTCGGCGTCGTCCGAAGACATTTGGTTTCCGGACAATAACTTTAGTACAAGTGAATAGAAATCTATGAAATTTAAACACAAGGTTTGAAACCACAAAAGGAAGGTTGGGATTGATTTTGGGGGTTATGGTCATAACAGTTTAGGAATTAGGGGCCAAAAAGGGGCCAGAATAAGCATTTTTCTAGTTTCCAGACAATAACTTGTGGAACAGTGTATGGATCTCTCTGAAATTGTACCACAAGTTTTCATACCTCAAAGGGATGGTTAGGATTGGCTTTGGGGGGTTATGGGTCAAACCGTTTAGGAATTAGGGGCAAGATAGGGGGAAAACAAGGGTTTCCTGGTTAATGGACAATTACTTAAGTATTGGTCTTTGGATCTCTATGAAATAGATATTGAACCATTAAGCATTATATAAGGGATAGCATTCGATTGATTCATGATATTTTACAGTATATAGAAGAGAACAATATTTTTGGATTACTGCTCTTTATTGATTTTGAGAAAGCTTTGATTCTTTATGTTGGGACTTTTTGCTATAAGTATTACAATTTTTCATGCTATTAGTATTACAATTTTTTTCATATGCTGAATTTATCTGTGTATTTGGTTGTTGGTCCCATTTTCTAATTGGTTCAAATTTTGGTCCTAAGGCTATAAAATTTGTTTTGTTTGATTTAATAAACATTGAAATTTAAAAAATAATAAATACAATGTTATATTTGAATTACCCCCCTTACATTGCTTTTAAGTTATATAAAGTTGTCTGCTAGTTCTAGTATGAACTATTTTTAGCTGTTTCTAGAAACATCAAATACTGTGATGGAAGTATATATAATATAATAATAGTGTATATCAAAGCGTTCAGTGGTAAAAAAATTGTTTATTTGTGATCAATATCATTTGTTTGGGTTTTTTCAGCATTAAGAGTTACCTCCCTTACAATGGTTTTGTTATAAAGAAATGTTGTATTGTCTTGAGGTGATTAGCTGTCAATTTATTTTTAGAAGTTACTATTAAATGCTGATGAAGGTATATCAATTTTAGCCATGATTATGTATGTCATTTTCTATTTTAATACTTTTATGATGTATTTAAATGGGTTTTTATGGTTGCAAACTCCATATGAAATTTGAATTGAGATTATGACCATAACTTGAGGGAAAGAATTTTTTTGGGGAAAAAAGGGGGGGGGACAATTTTTTCTCCTCAAGATTTCAGAAATTAAAAAGAAAATTTCAAATATTATTTTTTTTTTTTGGGGGGGGGGGGGGGGGGTCAATTCACAACAGCACAGTGTGTTGCACAAAATAATAGAATTGAATATAAATTCAAATCATATAACCAATTCTAAGTTCTTTGACTACAGTTATTCTGTGTCAGAATCCTGTTATGTGTCAAATATTTAATTACAATCCAAATTCAGACCTGTATCAAGCGCGAATATTGTGTCCATTTATGCCCCAACTGTTCAGGGTTTGACCTCTGCGGTCGTATCCAATTGCGCTCAGCGAAGCAATTTATTATATATTATGAATGTTTTGTGTTGTAGCAACCTGCATATTCTGATTAATTATTTTTCAGATTTCTAACATCCCAGAAGAAACAAGGTCAATGCTGGGATCAGCTGTTAGTTTAAATTCACAGATGGATGAAAAAGTAAAAAATTGGATATTAATATGACTAATAACTTAATTTTACAAAATTGACAAAATAAAAAATTCCCGAACAGTCAATATTTCAAACTAGAATCTGTCAAAACTCTACATAAACAACACCTTGAAATAATAAATTCAATTAAATATTTGGACACAAAACTATATTGCAATTCTTAAACTTATTTCACATCTGTAATCATTCCATAAAATTATGATAGTCTTTTAGACAAAAATGAATGAGGAGTTTACAAAACAAGCATATATGATGCAAATATTGGGCCTACAGCATATTCTGAAACTTCATATCCTATCTACAAAATAATTAATTAAAAATTTCTGTATTTAGTACTAAATATATGATAAATATTTATATAGTGGTGTTTTTTCTTATGATAAAGGTAAATATAGGGTAAGGAAGTTTGTGTAATTTTCTTTTTATTTTCGTGCACTTGGAAAATGAGTTTAAAGCCAGTAAATGCATAAGACTTAGCATTAAAAATCCTTAATAAGGTTTGTTCAAGTTCAGTGACAATTGATTTTTTGTGCCTGGGATATGCTTGTTGATATATTTTAGTTGAGGGTAGATAACAGTTTCTACAAACATACCTAGGTAAATTTTAAATTGCAATGACTGTTGACTATCATCTGTATTTAAGTGATTTATTTTTCAGAAGGAGAATGAGGTTGATGTGAAAGGTTTACAGGACAAGTTAAGACACACAGAGAATAAGATGTCAGAATACAGGATACAGTGTTCTACACTCAAAAATGAAATCAAGATGGCTCAAAAGGTCATTATAAGTATACAATTGGATATTATTGTAACAATTCAACTGTATAAAAATAAGGAGATGTGGTATGATTGCCAATGAGACAGCTATCCACCAAAGTTCAAATGAAGTGGATGTAAGCATTTTTAGGTAATCATACGGCTTCAACAATGAGAAAAATCCATAAAGTATAGTTGGCTTTAAAAGGCCCTGACATGAAAAATATGAAACAATTCAACTGATAGAACTAACAGCCTAATTTATTAAACACTAATATGACAGACATGAACCAAAGACAACCACTGAACTACAGGCTCCTGACTTGGGATAGGCACATATAGAATGTGGCGGGGTTAAACATATTTGTTAGCACTCAATCCTCCCCCTAACCTGGGACAGTGGTGTTACAGAACAACATAAGAACGAACTTTAGAAATCAGTTGAAAAGGGCTTATCTCATTAGATCCATACAAATCAGAAAAACATCTAACAAAACACAATCCGAGCATTGCAGGGTATTTTTTTGATCCGTAATAACAAAAAAGACACAAAGTACTGATCAGAGAGTACTCAAAGTTACTGACAGCTAGTTCAAAGCCAATAACAACTAATAAAAAAAATCATGTATCTTAAGACTAAAATATCAATCGATACACATCTAACATCCAATGGATTTAGTGTGTTAAGATTTCATTAAGAGTCAGAGAAAAACATGACCTTGTGAAATGCCAAAATATAGGTATCGACAGATTGTACTACTGTGAAAGTGCATATGATTGATTGTTGGTTGCTTAACGTCCAGTGGCAAATATTTCATGCATATTCAGGACGAGAAAGTGCATATGTATATAACAATAATATTTAGTATGGCTTTAATTTACTGATAACAAAATCAATATTTATACCAATAAACAAAATATTCAAAGATCTAATTACTGTTGTGAATTGGTAACCTTTGAGAATAACTTTATTTAAAGATTGATAAGTTTACCGGAACCGTATCTAAATTTCCTGGCTCGGTAAACAACATCAGCATAAAAATAAGGATGTGCTATTCTGTTTGAAATAAGTTTTCTACAGGTACAGCTTAACTTGCAAACCAAATCTTTGTATCTATTGAAGAATTTAGTAAAGATTTTAAGTAATTTGTGGTAACAAAATCTGTGACTAAATAATTTACCAGTGATACATAGATTATGTCCCTACAGACATGGGCATAGTAAACGAGTTGTACTTATTCTTTGTTTTTTTAATAGCTTTTACAAAATCTGTTATATTTCATACTGTATAATTTATCATGATTGTTACTTATATTGTGTATGTATCTAATTATAATTGTGGTTTGTAAATGTCTCCTGTGGGAGTTTGATTTGATAATAAATACTTGATTTGAGTGGACTTAACAAAATTTCAATCACAAACATATGTAGAATTTTGCCAATCAAGCAATTTTTTGTGCAGTGCAGGAAAGGCATGTGATAAGACTTATATTGTTAGTAGTGATAATTCAATAAGAATGTGTGTAAAATTAACTTATGTTTTGTGTATGAATGTCATTTAAGTTTTTGTGTTACATAATAAACTTACATTAAGCGTCTGTGAAACTACACTTGAAAGTCATTGAATAATGGCATTTTGTTATATAGTATGAAATCTCAAAAAGTAATGATGTTCAGTCACATTGAGTTACATTTAATTTAGAAATGACTTTGTTTAAGTTTTCAGCTTATTTTTTATTAACTACAATTCAGATAGGTTTTTTATTTTGTTATTGGACACAATCATTAAATGTATTATCATTAAAGGGCCTATATTAACCTATATTTTATGAAGTATTGATTTAATTAAAGTATGTTGGACGACCTGACCTTGACTTACATTTTATGCGTGAATCAAAGTCTTAAAATTAGGTATAGGTACAATACAAAATACTCACAATAGATAAATGATGAATTATCGATTTGAAATTAATCTTTCACAGAAAATTAGTTTGTTACAGAAAAGTAATCATAACTAATAAAAGGAAAACTTTAGAGAGGCTATTTGCTTTTACATGAACTTTTATGTGAAAACAATAGTTTATTGTCTCGCCTTGACGGAGTCAAAAAGCGAGACATAGGTATGCTGTTTCCGGCGTCCACGACAACAATGTATTAGTTTGTGATTAGGTCTAGATCATGGTGAAACACTAGTGGTAGGTCAATGATATTTGGTATGCAGTTGTATTAGCATTGGCACATCTCATTACCATGGAGATTATTTGGCCCCGCCCCCTCAGTCAAGGTCTATTGACTTTGAAACTTTGCTTAGTTTACATGTACTAGTTTGTGATTAGGTCAGTTTATGGGGAACCACTAGTGGTAGGTCAATGATAATTGGTATGCAGTTGTATAAGTATTGGCATATTTCATTTCCATGGAGATTATTTGGCCCCGCCCCCTTATTCATGGTCTATTGACTTTGAAACTTTTGCTTAGTTTTCATGTATTAGTTTGTGATTAGGTCAGTTCAAAGGGAACTGTTAGTGGTAGGTCAGTGATAATTGGTATGCAGTTGTATAAGCATTGGCACATCTCATTTCCATGGAGACTATTTGGTCCTTACCCCTCAGTCATGGTCTACTGACTTTGAAACTTTTGCTTAGTTTACATGTATAAGTTTGTGATTAGGTCAGTTTAAGATGAACCACTAATGTTAAGTCAATGATATTCGGTATGCTAATGTATTGACATTTGCAAGTTTCATTTCCATGGAGATTATATAACACCACCCCCTAATTATGGTTCATTGACTTTGAAACTTTTACATAGTTAAAGTTTGTGTTTAGGTTTGTTTAAAGGGAACGACTTATGAAAAGTCAATGGTATTTGGTTTGCAGTTGTATTAGCATTGGCACATCTCATTTCCATGGAGATTGTTTAGCCCTGTACCTTCAATCATGGTTCATTGACTTTATATATGTGCATAACTTACATGTTAAAGTATTGCAATTTAATTTCAACATTTGCATTATCAAAATAACAAATAGGCGAGACATATCTCTGTGTTAACAGTTTATTTCAAAATACAGTGTTGTTAATCTAAAATATGATATACCTTTGTTCTACAAAAACATCAAATGAATAGTTGAAGGATAATTGTGTTTTTAACAAGTTTGAACTCATGCTCTGTTTAACAGGTACCACCCTATCCGATTCTGACAATTGGAAGATGGAGTAAAACAATTAAGGATTATAATCAGCACTAAATAGTAGCTACATTATTAGGAATCACTATCATAAAACTTTACTTGTCAGGAAAACGTAGAATATAATAAAAATAAGAAGAATTTGACCTTACCTGATTTCACATTTGGTTTTTTTCACTGCTTCAGGGGTACCTTTATCCAGTGGTGATGCTACACAGTGTCCATGCTCACAACATGCTTTCTAGAATAACCTTCATAACGTACCCTTCAAACTAGTTTTTGACACCCAAAACTTGAAAATGTATGAAAGCTTGAATAACCATAAGGGTTAAATGAGAACAACTGAACCATCTTTGTTCAAATTTGCTAAAGGAGTTGCATGACCAAAATTGGCACAATTGGATTTTTTTTATAGGAATAGAAGTATATCAAATGTTTAATAATAAAAAAAATGAACTTCATCAAATATTTTATTTTATATGGTTGGATAGTTCATGTTTACTCATAATGTGAAATATGTTTACAAAATAATTTTTGATTGGTAAAGTGAATTTCATTTTCATATGTCTTTTCTAGATTTATTCAGATTTTTCTTGACTGAAAAGCCAGTTTTTGTCAACATTTTTTTATATATTCATATTTAAAAAAAAAAAATTGAACAGGATATTGTTTTTCTAAGAAGAGTTTGGCTAACAGAAGGCTGAGAAACTATAATGATAATACAAGTTTCTTATCTAAATTCAGGTTTTACAACAAGAAATTGGAACAGAAAATATCAGTATACAATCATTAATGAATCAGCAGAGTAGCTGGAGGGGGAGAGCACAGCAGATCATTAGTCTCCAACAAAAGGTAGTCATTGTTGATAACCATTCTCCTACCAGTTAGATCAAAATGTTGTAAGAAAGAATGTACAATACCACTGCAAGTTTTAATCATTTGATGCTGTTATGAATTTTTGTAATGTGTTAGCACTTTTCACATCTGTCAGACACCTACTTCCTGATTGCCGATAGTTTTAATTTTTTATATGTTATTGTCCAACAAATATTTTTGTTATATTTTTCTAAAGTGCTATGGAACAGAATAACTTCTTATTAAGTCATCAGCTTGACAGTGATGAATTGTAATGCTGAACATTTTTTAATCTGTCAGACACCTACTTCCTGTTTGCCGATAGATTGAATATTCAATATGTTTTTTGTCCAACAAATATTTTGTTATATTTTTCAAAGTGCTATGGAACAGAATAACTTTATATTAAGTCATCAGACTGACAGCGATGAATTGTAATGCTGAACTCTTTTTATCTGTCAGACACCTACTTCCTGTTTTCCGATACTGTAAACTTTTGGAATCCAAACAGTTTTATTTTCACTATTTTTCGCGATAAGAGTTGAAACGGAAAAAAAATCAACCGTGAATATTTCATAGAAACCTGAATACAAAGTTTTAAAGACCATGCATGTATGACCATATATTGATAGGATATGTAGATGACTTATTTAAAACATCTGTTTACAGATGACGGATCTATTCTGCAAAACATAAATTTATTTCTAAATAAAAGTCAATGTTAGAAATCAAAACTTTTAATTCTAATTAAGGATGTATTCTTCTGATGTTTCAGTCTCGTTGAAATCTCGTTCTGGAATAATTTCCAAAACGTGATACAAGTGGAAAATATCAATGAATTTAAAAAATATTATAATCAAACTTAACATAACTCTGTGAAAAAAAGTGTGTATTTACAATCAGTAGTTTTTGAGTAGTAAAATTTTCAAATTTTATTACCAATCAAGTCAGTCTCATTAGCCAAAATGTTGAGAAAATGGTTGATGGGTACAAGAAATGATTTTACCATAAACATGTACATCCCATATCAATTTTTTCTTTTCAAATTTCTTAGATATGTATTTTTTCAATCATTTAAATTTATAACAAAGAAGTTGAAATAATATGCTTTTTGTTCTTAAAAAAAGTGGAAAATCCCAAATTTACAACATTGACAGCATGGTAAATTTGACACGAAAAAGCAACAAAATTTTATAAAACTTTCCTATATTAACACCTACCTATTGTTTTTTTAAGTTAAATTTATTCAGAGTGGTCCACTTCATCTTTATTGAAAGTATGAAAAAAGGTTTAATTGTGAAACTGGGATTTTTTTCATGATAATAGCCCAAAAATGGGTAAAAATTGATGAAAAATGGGAAAATCATCAGAATTGGGTACTTTCATATGGCTGTAGCAAAAAAAGAAGTGCACCACCAAATGATTTTTTCTTCACCAATTATTTTTTTAGTCATATAAACCCAAAAATCGGGTTAAGAAAAAAAGTTTAATTCTAGAAATTTTTGTACATCCTTAACATGGAAGACATCTGAAGCAAGTGGACATTACGGGTATTGCTAAATAAACAACTATCCTTACAGTTATGTAAATGGCGCATTACATTTGACACATATGGAGATTAAATTTTTTTTATGTTTGTGCGCAGCTTTTGGTTACATTTGCGCGCATTCATATTACAGGTAACACAGGTAAAAGATAATTCATAATAAAGATGACTATGGTTAATATGATTTTTTGACATATTTGTAAATCTTAATTTTATATTTTTCATATTGAATTCTAAAATAATATAAAGTGATCATGAGAAATTCCGTAATAGCTTAAGATATACATGTAACTTAATTGCGAACATTTCCTAATTTTACCGAATTGTGATCGCTTTGGTAAATAATTAAAGTTGGTTCGTAAAATTGAGTCAAGGCTCAAACATGGAGTTTCATTTGTCAGAAACAAGTTGGAAGAAAATAAATCATTAGTGTACGATGGATTTACTTTCTGTATCTACAGAACACTTAAGTCAGGGGACATCTCATGTAACTGCACCTTAAGTAATCTCAAAGGTATTTCACCAGATTTCCTCCAAGTCTATTGTCATCACTACCGTCAGTGGAATACAGGCATACTACATTTTTATCTGTGTATATTTCCAGGACTCCATGTGTGTGCATAATAAAACAGACTTATTCTACTCGAAAATAATAGTAAAATAAATAATTAAGTATAATCTACCTGTATTTACATGAGTTTACCTGTAAAAGAATGCACACAAATGTAATCAAAAGCTGCACGCAAACGTAATGATTTTTCTATAAAGTATCTGAACAGAATTACTTCATATTTGGTCAGCAGGTTCAAAGCAAGATTGATTTAATCTAAAATTTTGATTATTATTTTAAGTCTGCTTTTGATTGGTTGAAATATATTTAACCCAATACTTACTGTTATAAAGCGTTTATAAAATTGGGATAATCAAATTAATTGAGCTATATAAAGTTTTGGTAAACTCTTTAATTTCCTGAAAAAAAAGACAACACAACAAAGAAAAAAAAAGAGTTATAAAATATAACTTGAAAATTCATGCCCCAAAAACTGTCAAAATACATGTATTGCTAAATGTAAAACCCTATGCTTTAAAGCTTTTTAATTTAAGAAAAATGTGCTATAGTATGTATCTTTTTTAAACCTGACTTATTGTAGTAGGGAATATATTGTTTTTGGGAATGCGCATCTAATTGTCCATCCTTTAGTTCCCTTGTCTGCTTGTCCTGTATCAGTTTGCAGTTTTGATTTAAGGAAGTTTACCATGAAGTTGTGGTCACATCAACTTGAAAATTAGTACACATATTCCTTATGGTTTGACTTTTTATATAGAGGCTAAATTGGATTTGACCCAGATTTTGTAGTTACTGAACTTAAAAAATTTAATAGTTTGAGCTTGGCATGGGGTCCTATAGACGCATATTCTTATTTTTTAATTGCATTTAAGCCTTTCAAGAACTGATCAGAAGTCAATTAAATTATATCTTATATAGTGTATTTTTATAATTTTCTCAGGTAGAAGAGTTAAAAGGGAAGTTAGAAAACTCCAAACCCAAAGAATATGACTTAGAGAGAGAAATGTTAGGAAATTCGTCTGCTAGAAAGAGAACAGGTGATGACAGACATAGAGAGCAGCTCAGGAAGATTGACAAAGAAAAAAAAGAAGCTCAAGAGGTTAGTCAAATAAATCATGCACTTATGCAGTTAAAATTTTCTTAACTGAATCCTAACAGTTCTGAAGGTTTTTGTCTCGCCTACAACAAAAGTCATAGAATGCGAGACATAGGGATAACAATCAAGAGGCTGTGTAAACAATTTGTTTAAAGCTTTATATTTCAGAAGGAAGAATACCTTGTATGCAATCTATATATTATTTTTATGAAGTTTCCATCTGTCATATTTCATTGTCCTTAACCTCGTTTTCGTGGTTCAGTAATGCTTGAAAAAAAATTAAGTGATTTTTGTGATGCAAATTTCTGAGTTATTATGAGTAATAGGATATCAATGTTTGGTATATTGGTTCCTTGCAAGGTCTGCTGGCCATTAGCTAGGGTTCACCTTACCTTGACCTCATTTCATGGATCAGTGATCAAGGTTAAGTTTTCATGGTCAAGTCCATATCTCAGATACTTTAAGCAATAGGTCAACTAAATTTGTTGTATGGAATGATTGTACATGTTCATGTCTGACTGGCAGTATTCATCTGACCTTGACCTCATTTTATGGTTCATTGGTCAATGTTTTTTTTGGTCAAGTCTGCAACATTTATGTAACGAAAGCAAGACATAGCTACCCTTGATTCCGTCGGCTGCAGCATCATTGTCAACATTTAGGTTCAATCTATGGTTAAAGTATTTTAGAACCAAAATTCATGTTCCCTTAACTTTAGTTAGCCTCAAACAAATGTTATGAAACTGATACACAATGCTTATTACCACAAAACTCAGATCAAGTTCGAATTGGGGTGGAATCACTTTTACTGTTCTTGATTTATGTCCCTTTATAACGTTATATGCAAATGGGGGCATCATCTGTGTCCCATTGACACATTCTACATTTATTTAATTTCCATATGTTATTGATAAATGGACTTTTTTTTTTACAGTTAACTTTCAGATTCAGTCTATGGTTGAAGTTTAAAAGTCGTCAATAACTTTGGCAAACAACAGCAATCATAGGCAAGACACAGGGTTCTGCTTAACTCTTTACAAGTTTGTTCTGATTTGGTCTATTTGTCAGATACTATAAGCAATAGGTCAACTATATTTTGTTTAATGATTGTGATTGTAAGGTGTATATGTCGTTCTGTCAGGATTCATCTGACATTGACCTTATTTTTATGGTTCATTGGTCAATGTTAAGTTTTCATGGTTTTGTCTGTTTATCAAATACTATAAGCAAAAGATTAAAAAACTATATGTGGTGTATGGAATGATTGTAAGGTGTACATGTCTGTCTTGTAGGTTCATCTGACCTTGACCTCATGTTCATCGTTCACTAGACAATGTAATGTTTTCATGGTTATGTTTATCTTCAGATACTGTAAGCAATAGGTCAGCTATATTTGGCGTATGGAATGATTGCATGGTGTACATTATGTCTGGCATGGTTCATCTGACCTTGATCTCATTTTCATGGTTCATTGGTCAATGTTCAATTTTCTTAATTATGTCTGTTTCTCAGATAGCATAAGCAATAGGTTAGCTATATTTAGTGTGCGGTATGATTGTAAGATGTACATGTCTATCTGGCAGGGTTTATTTGACCTTGAAGTCATTTACATTTATCACTGACAATGTAAATTTCATTTGAAACTGATAGTAAAACCTTCATATTTAAACATAAATTCAATATATATAAGTAAAGCAGGCAAGACATTTCAGTGTGTGGACTCTTGTGTTTAGGTAAGATGTGTGTTTTCTGTGTAGAAAGTTTATTCAGTCTTTAGTTAAGTAAAGAAATCAGTTCTCAAAAGTTTCCCAATTTTTCTCCAATATATACACATGTGAGCTAGTTAAAGTATTATAATTTGATTAAAAAAATGTATATATTATACTTTCTGTAAGAGTTTTCTTATATAATTCAAATTCTTTATTTTGGCATAGGGTTAAAACTATTTATGGAAAAGTGTACTATTGCCTAATGTGACTTAATGTCAATACAGCTGTTGTATGCTCATGCAGTGTTCCAGCTAGGTCGTTTTCACAGGGCGGTACGCCCGCCCTTTACAGAGAGCCGCCCTGTGCCCTTTTTCTGACGCCCTGTGCCCTTTTTAAGACGCCCTGCCCTTTTTCGTAAGTCCATGCCTTTATTGCCGTAGCATTTTGATGAAAATACAATTATTCTACCTGTCTTCATATTTATGACAAGTTTATGACCCTCAGCTAATTAACATTTACAGCAGGTGTAAAAAGTTGTGATTACAGATAATCCGCTTATCAGCAGGATGGGTCATTAATCCGTTAATTAAACTTCATAATTGACCATTGTAATAATTTTTCTCATTAAGTTCGGTCAGTCAGCATTTCAATTTCAATATTTCTCAAAAGATGACAATTTGCGTTTGATGTATCCATAGATTGTCTGTTGTTTATATGTCAAAGTTTTTTTTTTAAATTGATCTTTTAAACTAGTTTTAATCCAGAAGAAAGTAAAAACAATGCTCGACTGTACCTTTCATTGAATATCTATGTCCAAATTAAATTTAATTAAAGCTGTAATCCATGATCACAAATTGACTGCTTTGTTTACATTTGTTGAAAGCCATGTGCTTTTTTGGCGGGAAAATTTGGAAAACCCCTTTAACAAGAAACAGTTACATTTCATTGTTATTTATATACAGTAAGATTTTCATTTTGATTAACTGCTAAGAGTATTTCATTAAAAATTAATACTTTCTTGGGGTGAAACTGATAATACTTTAATACTCTACATCTAAGGGTGTGTAAAATGGAAATATATAATATTACAAATATAAGTTTAACAGTCTGAAAAAACATGGTTAAATGGATTTTAATTCTGAAAAACTCAATGTGGTTTATTATAATTCATTTATTATTTCTATCATAATCAGAAACACTGGGCTAACATGTATTAGGCATTTCAAACATATATTATTGACTTTTTAAGAACATTCAAGACTATTAATAAGTATGTACCTGTAGTAAAAATACCCTGGTAGGGCCTTAAAATTTCTACTGGGCCCTTGGAAAAAAGTTTTGGGATCCAGGTTGGTCCCTGGAGAAAATGTAAGGTATTGTTCCTGACTGTATTGCAGATCAGTGTAGTATTTTAACTGACATGCACAATTCATTTCACTAATGAAATAAAAATAATTCTACAAAACGCCGCTGCGCTCTGCATTTCAACTTAACCTTAGACCTACCATGCATCAAAAATGTTCTAGGGAAGACTGAGCTGGTAATATACATCCTTGCATGGTCCCTTAACATAAGACAATGTTTGACATGCCCTTTTTGAAATATCAATCATTGTGCTAAAGTGCCCTTTTCATGATTGGCTTCCTGCCCTTTTGAAATCCTAGCTGGAACACTGTCATGTGAATAGGTGAAACATAGTGCAATTGTTGTCTGGATCCTCAACCACTTAATGAAAAGAATACTTGCAGTTCCTGAAATGAAAATTTCACCATTGTCATCTCCTTGTTATAAAATAACTTATGAAAGGTGATATGGAATTATTTTATGTTGGTTCAATTTAAATGGATAATTGGTATAATAAAATAAGAATGATTTTGTGTTTAGCATATACATCGATATAATAGTAAGAATGAAATTCTGTTTATCATTGACTATGCGATATAGTAGCAATGATTCAAGACAGTGTACTCCCCTTCAGGTCATGCACTATGTCCTCAACCTTGGCTTTTACTTTCACATAGTCAATGATAACACAAAATGATTCTATGAACAACTAAGGATTGTATAGACTGTTGTCATGGCGTCGTCAGTTTATTTCAATGTTCCTTTGGTATCTTTTGCCTCTTTTCCATTAAGTAAACTGAATAAAATGGTTTTTGTCTCGCCTTGACGGAGTCAAAAAGCGAGACATAGGTATGCTGTTTCCGGCGTCAGCAGTGACGACAACGGCGACGTCAACAATGTGTTAGTTTGTGATTAGGTCTAGTTCATGGTGAACCACTAGTGGTAGGTCAATGATATTTGGTATGCAGTTGTATTAGCATTGGCACATCTCATTACCATGGAGATTATTTGGCCCCGCCCCCTCAGTCAAGGTCTATTGACTTTGAAACTTTGCTTAGTTTACATGTATTAGTTTGTGATTAGGTCAGTTTATGGGGAACCACTAGTGGTAGGTCAATGATATTTGGTATGCAGTTGTATAAGCATTGGCACATCTCATTACCATGGAGATTATTTGGCCCCGCCCCCTCAGTCAAGGTCTATTGACTTTGAAACTTTGCTTAGTTTACATGTATTAGTTTGTGATTAGGTCAGTTTATGGGGAACCACTAGTGGTAGGTCAATGATATTTGGTATGCAGTTGTATAAGCATTGGCATATCTCATTTCCATGGAGATTATTTGGCCCCGCCCCCTCATTCATGGTCTATTGACTTTGAATCTTTTGCTTAGTTTTCATGTATTAGTTTGTGATTAGGTCAGTTTAAGGGGAACCGTTTGTGGTAGGTCAATGATAATTGGTATGCAGTTGTATAAGCATTAGCACATCTCATTTCCATGGAGACTATTTGGTCCTTACCCCTCATTCATGGTCTATTGACTTTGAAACTTTTGCTTAGTTTACATGTATTAGTTTGTGATTAGGTCAGTTTAAGGGGAACCGTTTGTGAAAAAAGCGCCACCTACAGGGAAAAGAACGGAAGTCAGAAAAATATCAGTGAAAAAAAATCGAACTTTTAGTCAATTGTAACCATAAACAGAGTGGCAAATTTACTATTTTCACCATTTAATACCATCTAATACTACAATTTCAAGATGGGATGTGATCTGAATCAGTGGAGAATGAGAATTGGTTCTTTCTATCAACCAGTGTGTAAAAACATTTTCAAATATCCCGCCATGTTGTCAAACCCAAGTCAACCTACAAAGCTAAAACAACTATTGAGATTAACTTTTTGTATTAGTATAATTCTACTACTAAGCGGAGATGTTGAATTAAACCCTGGTCCTC